TTAAAAGAACAACCAGAAAAATACGTGCTTGTCGACAATCACAAAGTGAATCATTCAAAACCATCTCATATAGACTTGAGTTTTGTTTTTGTAAAAAATGATTATTCATGAAAGGAATGCATCATTAAAAATAAAGTATTTGGTAAATAAAAAATTTCTTCGGATTACACGGGGACGGGTCGGGGCCCGTCACAAAAATGGCGGGTCGGGCGAGCCGGTCCAAGAAGCTGCCTGTGCGGGGTACGGGCGGAGCGGGTATAGATTTGCCGGGACACAGGCGGGGCGGGAATTCTCAAAAAGAATATCCACGGGGCTCGGACGAGACGGGTTTGTAAATTTTACGGGGCGGGCCCCGCGGGGGATGGAAAATCAATGCCCCGCACATCTCTGACTCCAAGTCTGTACAATTGAGAGTCAAATATAATTTTTACATATTTTCGAAAGATATTCTTGATTAATATAATTAGATAATGTCGGATATGTTTTGAAATGAATTAATTCTTCAATTAGGATTTTTCTATTTGTAGATTTAGTTTTAGATGAGAATCTCAATCCTAGATTAATACTAAGTGGAAAAACTTGTTTTTCTTCTATAAAATAATTTCTTCTATCATCATCCTTATAGTCCTGCTTTTTAATTACGATTTCTACTCCATCGTCCATTTTAGATATTTAGTTTATCTACAGAAAAAAACGAATATGGGTGTAGGTGTTGGTATGGGTGTAGGCGTAGGTGTGGGTGTGGATGCGGGAGTGTGGGTATTGTTCTTTTCTTAATCCACATCCACATCCATCCACACTCACACCCGCCTGCCCCACACCCTGATCTAGATAGTACATAATCTTTCAATCCAAAATTGTTCCACCTTTCTTTAACATAAAATGGACGAAAAGTGCTCTTCATCTGCTCAGGTAACGTTTATTCGCTGGTTAGATGGTAATTTCTTATTCTTGATGATCACATTGCGTAAATACAAGATGACATATTGGTGAAGAATTGTTTCCAACCGAGACAGTAGTTAGCCATAGTGGTAAGATCAAACAAGACAAAGGACTTTGCTTGATACATGTCGATAATATTGATATAACGGACAAATTCCTAGCACCAAAGTAGAGAACGGAATGAATATTTGGGTATGTCGAGCAGCTCAAATATCCAAGATCGATAGATAAATTGTTGGCACGACTTTAACGAGACTAATGAGACGAATTTATATAACTCTTCCTTTTACATCTAAAAATAAAGAATCTTGAGATGGCTCTTTCTTTTCTGCTATTTCTTGTTCCTTGCTGATTTATGTACTGATTCAAACAAAAAATTTCAGTGACGTTTCTTCCAAAAATGATTTGAATCGTGTGCCTGTAACGATCTTGTTTACCATTTATTTACTCTGATCCTACATGAGGGTAGGCGTACGACGACAGCAGAAGTTCATTTCCAATCGACTGAAAATCGAAATGGGACACTACGGACATCTATATCCTCCATACGAGAAAGGCGCTAATTGTCTTCACTTTTTATGCGTCATATACTAATTACACAAGAGGTAGTAAAAACCTTCAATCCTATTTTCATACAGGGTTTTTTCCCCAAAGTGCTAGTCAATGCAATTAGTCATAAAGTTATTGCGCAATGTGTTATGTAATATCTTTTTCAACCGTATATATACTACAAACAGAGCAGAGGAATGTCTTTCTATTAACGGTAAGCGAGAATACTCACTGATAATCGTTCACTGTTTTGAAGATTATTGAAAATTGTTCTCTTAAAGATAAATAATATCTTCTTGTAACACTGATCATGTCGATGAAGCAAGGTGCATATCTTTTAAAATTTCTTGATAATAAATCACGACTGTGTTTTCCGAGAAATGAAGTATGCCGTCGCGTTGTTGATATATGTGAGCAACTAAAGAAGCGAGGTGTTCATTCCTCGATTACGATGAGTACAGCTGGTTGGACATACACAGCGGATGTTGACACTGCTCATTGTCAAACATGTGGACTGAAAGTGTCCGGATGGACAAAAGAAATGAATCCATTCACGATTCATGCTAAGCAGAGTCCGGCTTGTCTATTCGTGCAGTCTAAGAACCCAATCAACTTATATCCTTCTCGTGCATCAACAGTAGATGATCAAGAAAATTCGTCAAAACGTCGAAAGGTCGATTTAAGTACAGAAAATTCATTGGTTGAAGTCGAAATCTTAAAAGGAGTTCGCTATCGAACATTCTCACATTGGCTTCATCAACAAACACCATCAGCAGCACAAATGATTTCAGCTGGCTTTTTCAATTGTAACGTTGGTGATCGAGTTATTTGTTTGTATTGCAATTTGATCTGTCAACAATGGACACCGCATGTAGATGATCCAGAGGAAGTGCATAAAACTCTTTCGCCTCACTGTCCTTATGTTCTACTCATGTTGAAAGTTCGTCAAACAACACCGATATCGATTCTCAACGGAAATTCTATGAACAACATCAATGATCGATCACGAACGTCAGATATTCTTCGATTAAATGAAATTGTGTATGCATCACCATGTCATGTTAATTATGTGGAAATACCGAGACGTCAAGCATCGTTTGTGTCATGGCCTGAAGAGCCATTGCCTTCTGTCGATGACCTAGTGCGAGCTGGATTTTTCTACACGGGGGCAAAGACTGTAGTGACTTGTTTCTATTGCAACGGGTCACTCCAGAATTGGGGTAAAAAAGATAACCCAATAGTGGAGCATTGTCGATGGTTTCCACACTGTGCCTATGCTAAACAGTTATGTGGCGATGAACTCTATCGAAAAATTCAAAATTCAAAACGAGCTGCTCAAGGTTTGTTTGTTTTCTTCAAAAAAAAACAATCTTGTTTGTTTTTTAGAACGCACCCGAACAAATGAATTGGAGATAAATGGCAACAATTACCCAACAAACAGTTCTCGACTAGCAATACCGGATGAGAGCACCTTGTCACGATTGGTCGCCGCTCGACTTGATTTACCAATTTCACAGAGTCTACTCAATCGCAACTTCAAAGTATCAATCATCAAACGTTGTTGGGAAGATCAACTTCGACTCAAAAGTGAGCAATAAAGATAATAACTCAATGAATATGTTCATGTATGTTTTATCAGAAGACGACTTTGCTTCGGACTGTGATCTGTTGGTCGCTTGTATGATTCTTCAAAAACAAATCGATCATATCAACGGTAAAAAAAACAATATTGTCGTTCCAAGTGTCAAAATGAAAATGATTCGAGAGAAAGAAACTCTGGTCCGAAGACAATTTACTTCATCATCGTCCGTGCCCACAATTGAAGAACTACGATCACAGAATCCTTTAAATGAAAAGGATATCAAAGCATCGAAATCGGAGACAGTTGAAGATGTCACTGAACAGAAAACAGAAGTGAAAACTGATCCGACAAGTAGTTATTCATTGTCCAATCCATGTGTACTCTGTTGGACGGAAGAGAAACGTCTCGCATGCATTCCTTGTGGACACCTTGCGACCTGTGTTCCATGTGGTCATTCTCTTCGAACATGTCCCATCTGTCGACGAAAAATTGAAGCTTTTGTTCGCATTTATATTTGAATAACGACATCACATTTATCGATAACTTGCATATGACAATAGATTATTTTGTTTGTTTTTAATTAAACTAGAGTTCGCTATTGTATTTTGCGTTAATATCATTTGTACTCTTGACAAAACTAATATTTTATTTAAGATAGTTTTAATACAATAAACTGAAAGGATTTTCAGTGTTTTGAAAGAAGCTCTCGGCAAGCCCTCATTTGAGGGTTGAAACGTGTTCTGGTCAGATCAAACCACTTAAAAGATCAAATCAAATTCTACAAGGATGGTTTGTCACTTACATCTCTAAGTCGAAAAATGGCTGAACGAAGTATGAATTCGAAATTATACGAGAGACACAGAGTAGATATGTGTTGGCAGAGTGAAAAATTTTACTTCACAGAGTGCTCTGTCAGAGTAGAGCGGATAGATGTGAGCCGATTCTGATTCAAAAAAAATGCCCATTTTTTCCATTCCACTCATCCGTACGATGTAAAAAATTCGTGCAGTCATATCTGTTATCCACTTTTCCCTTCTTTTTTGCGTCCGTTGTTTTCTCTTCCCTATTTTAATCAGATTTGTTTTCAAGTAGGAATCGATCAAATGTTGTAAGGATTATGAAATTTCTTAGACGCATGCATTCTTCAGGGTTTAATGGATTAATAATGGTGCAGCCTTAGCATGAGTCATCGTAAATGTTTTGTAGTGGAATATTAGGGTGTGGGTGTGGGTGTGGGATGTGAGTGTGGATGAGTGTTGGTGTGGGCGTGGGTGTGTGAGTGTGAGAGTGCGTGTAACGGAAAAGTGAGAATGAGCGAAGGATACAATGCAGAAAGATGGGTGACCGCGTTGTTGGATCACGTATTTTAAGGCCTTGCTTTGTTTGTTATTTCTTTAGGCTCAATTCCGTTACTTGTTCCCATGTGAAAATTTTTGCCTTTGTAAGCTATTTTTAAGCGGCTTAAATAAGCTTACACTTCAATTAAGCACTTTAAAGCGCTTAAATATTATGGTCTTAAGCTGCTGAAAGCGGCTCCAACCAATTAAGCTGCTTAATACAGCTTACAATGCGCTTAACATGAAAAGCGCTGAAAAGTGCTGTATATTTTTATTTCTTTAAGCGGTTTCCAGCACTTACCATGGAAAAAGCTGGAAAATGCTGTGAATTTTTATCCTTCTAAGCGCCTTCCAGCACTTATCATGAAAAAAGCTGAAAAGTGCTGTAAATTTTTATCCTTGTGGCTTTGAAATTGCTGTAATCTTTCATATCTGAAAACGAATTTTTGATTGAGAATTTCTGTAGATGATTTCATACAATTCATGTTGATGATTGATTAAAATAGATCAACTTCTATGCGAGAATAATGAACATGGTATCATATATTTTATTTATGAGTGAGTATAACATAACATAGCTGAATCAATAATCAAGAATGTTCCTCCAAATTAGGAAATCGAATGAACGTTGCGCGACCATTTGATTGTAAATAAAAGACACGTTTTTCAATTATTTGTTCTGCTTTGATTATACAAGTAGTTGTTTCAGAAGTGATCGTTCCAATTTCAATTTCATCATAATAGAATTGTTCATCATTAACTTCGCAAGTAAAATCAAAAGAGCTTGAAAGTGAGAATATTTGAAATAGCACTTCTCCATCATCTACAGTGAAAATTCGATGAATAGGGCCGAAATGAACTTCATCACTAGCTCTGTAGACAATTGAAGAGTCATCAGTTGATCTCTTATGACAGTAGTTGCTGATGGTAAATCGAATTCCACCAATGAATGCTGTAGAATAATAGGTCATTTTACTGGAAAATAAAGTAGATATTTGTGGATCTGAAATATTGACGGGATACTGTGGTTGAATAAAAACTGATGACCGTTGATTAGTTTCATGATCATTGATTAAAGATGATAGAAATTTGTGAAGTGAATAATCCATTTGGGAATCACCAAGATGAAACAAGTGTCTTTCAAATACTGGAGATTATTCATAATTTCTAGTGAATGTCGACGAGTACTCTTTGTTGAGCGATTAAGAAGGCCTACAATATCAACAAAATAAAACTCATGGCTACTTCAGTATGATCAATAGCAATTGTTAGTTTTTTTTGTGCTAGATTTAAAATATACATTTTGATGGTCAGCGAATTAAACTTTCTCACACGAAAATTTATGTCCTTATATGTATAAACTTGTCTTACCTTTTACGGAATCATTAATATTTTTTGCAGGTTTTTCCAACGAATCATCATTTTCACTATCAACGTCGAAGCCATTTTCAACACTATTTATGTTACAAGTTTCAAGATTATTTATTTTATCAAGTTCAACTTTATTTTTATCAGATGAATCTTCATCTACAAACAATCTAGATTCGGATATTGAATCATTTGACGATGTTGATTTTCTTGAAGTTGGTGATGGAGTAGATTTATTTGTTCTTCGGGCAGATGTTATTGTTGGTTGAAATAAGATTGAAAATGAAGAAGTAGCTAATGAAATCGGTGTACCTGTTGATGAGGATTTCACCATGGAATTTCAATTTTCGCCATTTGTGATGATGATTGATGAATTTTTTCGTGAATGTACTTGTTGTAAATCAGACGAAGATTTAACTATTGATCATGAATCTTCAATGTTTTTCTTTGTAGTTTTACATTGTTCTTCAGAACCTGTAAAAGTAAAGTATTGGTAAGAATAAATACAAGTAAATGTCGTTATAAAAAAATAAGTAAATAAAAACATTGAATAGGTCAATTTCAGTTTTGAGACATTGTTTTCTGCGTCTGTCAACCTAATTTGTTGTTTACAATATCCATCGTTTAGTGAACTTACCTATTGCCACAAATGTTTCTCTACCACGTTCCTTTCGATTTTTTCCTATCCATGATATTTCAACACCTATTTTCAGTTTCGTTTTTTCTCGATACATTATCAATTGACTCCTTGTAATAATATGAAGAGAATTGTCTTTTGCCTTGACCAAAAGATATTGTATTCTGGAATTTTCTTGTGGTGTCATACCAGTCCAGTGATCGAAAATAGAGTGTCTAGAAAATTATGTTATTACAGGATCAAAAATGAAGAAATTCAAAGATGAATCTAAAAGTTTTATTATTATATATTATACTAACAACACAGACGAAGCATTTTACATTAATCCTTTATTCAGCGAAGAAAGAACGAACAATTCACTGTCGATTATTGGTACGCGAGACGTGACACTTGTATGCATTATCATGCGAGAACAAATATGTTCGATGGACAGCGACATCTATTTTCACAACGGACAGTAAAATTCCAATCAGAATTCTGTTGTAAATTTTACTGATTAACGTCTTAGGCCTTGTCCACACTACAGAATTAATACAGTATTAAGTTTGTA